TACCTCTAGTCTGTTTTCTGAGAGTTCTCAATAAACTCACCTCCCACAGCAGCAGCCTCATCCCCATACTCGGCGCGCATCTCTCTGCTGAACGCCAGGAGTGGCGCCATGCCCTCTGCTGCTGCTCTCTCTGCTTCTTTTGGCGGGCTGGCTGCCTTTCACTGCTGGATCGGCACATAGTACGCTGGGATGGGGGGCAGGGATCCCTACTGGTGCTCTCCTCTACACTTACCTCCACAGCAGCAGGCTCGTCCCCATACTCGGCGCGCATCTCTCTGCTGAACGCCAGGAGTGGCGCCATGCCCTCTGCTGCTGCTCTCTCTGCTTCTTTTGGCGGGCTGGCTGCCTTTCACTGCTGCATCGGCACATAGTACGCTGGGATGGGGGGCAGGGATCCCTACTGGTGCTCTCCTCTACACTTACCTCCACAGCAGCAGGCTCGTCCCCATACTCGGCGCGCATCTCTCTGCTGAACGCCAGGAGTGGCGCCATGCCCTCTGCTGCTGCTCTCTCTGCTTCTTTTGGCGGGCTGGCTGCCTTTCACTGCTGGATCGGCACATAGTACGCTGGGATGGGGGGCAGGGATCCCTACTGGTGCTCTCCTCTACACTTACCTCCACAGCAGCAGCCTCGTCCCCATACTCGGCGCGCATCTCTCTGCTGAACGCCAGGAGTGGCGCCATGCCCTCTGCTGCTGCTCTCTCTGCTTCTTTTGGCGGGCTGGCTGCCTTTCACTGCTGCATCGGCACATAGTACGCTGGGATGGGGGGCAGGGATCCCTACTGGTGCTCTCCTCTACACTTACCTCCACAGCAGCAGGCTCGTCCCCATACTCGGCGCGCATCTCTCTGCTGAACGCCAGGAGTGGCGCCATGCCCTCTGCTGCTGCTCTCTCTGCTTCTTTTGGCGGGCTGGCTGCCTTTCACTGCTGCATCGGCACATAGTACGCTGGGATGGGGGGCAAGGATCCCTACTGGTGCTCTCCTCTACACTTACCTCCACAGCAGCAGGCTCGTCCCCATACTCGGCGCGCATCTCTCTGCTGAACGCCAGGAGTGGCGCCATGCCCTCTGCTGCTGCTCTCTCTGCTTCTTTTGGCGGGCTGGCTGCCTTTCACTGCTGCATCGGCACATAGTACGCTGGGATGGGGGGCAGGGATCCCTACTGGTGCTCTCCTCTACACTTACCTCCACAGCAGCAGGCTCGTCCCCATACTCGGCGCGCATCTCTCTGCTGAACGCCAGGAGTGGCGCCATGCCCTCTGCTGCTGCTCTCTCTGCTTCTTTTGGCGGGCTGGCTGCCTTTCACTGCTGGATCGGCACATAGTACGCTGGGATGGGGGGCAGGGATCCCTACTGGTGCTCTCCTCTACACTTACCTCCACAGCAGCATCCTCGTCCCCATACTCGGCGCGCATCTCTCTGCTGAACGCCAGGAGTGGCGCCATGCCCTCTGCTGCTGCTCTCTCTGCTATTTTGGCGGGCTGGCTGCCTTTCACTGCTGCATCGGCACATAGTACGCTGGGATGGGGGGCAGGGATCCCTACTGGTGCTCTCCTCTACACTTACCTCCACAGCAGCAGGCTCGTCCCCATACTCGGCGCGCATCTCTCTGCTGAACGCCAGGAGTGGCGCCATGCCCTCTGCTGCTGCTCTCTCTGCTTTTTTTGGCGGGCTGGCTGCCTTTCACTGCTGGATCGGCACATAGTACGCTGGGATGGGGGGCAGGGATCCCTACTGGTGCTCTCCTCTACACTTACCTCCACAGCAGCAGGCTCGTCCCCATACTCGGCGCGCATCTCTCTGCTGAACGCCAGGAGTGGCGCCATGCCCTCTGCTGCTGCTCTCTCTGCTTCTTTTGGCGGGCTGGCTGCCTTTCACTGCTGCATCGGCACATAGTACGCTGGGATGGGGGGCAGGGATCCCTACTGGTGCTCTCCTCTACACTTACCTCCACAGCAGCAGGCTCGTCCCCATACTCGGCGCGCATCTCTCTGCTGAACGCCAGGAGTGGCGCCATGCCCTCTGCTGCTGCTCTCTCTGCTTCTTTTGGCGGGCTGGCTGCCTTTCACTGCTGCATCGGCACATAGTACGCTGGGATGGGGGGCAGGGATCCCTACTGGTGCTCTCCTCTACACTTACCTCCACAGCAGCAGGCTCGTCCCCATACTCGGCGCGCATCTCTCTGCTGAACGCCAGGAGTGGCGCCATGCCCTCTGCTGCTGCTCTCTCTGCTTCTTTTGGCGGGCTGGCTGCCTTTCACTGCTGCATCGGCACATAGTACGCTGGGATGGGGGGCAGGGATCCCTTCTGGTGCTCTCCTCTACACTTACCTCCACAGCAGCAGGCTCGTCCCCATACTCGGCGCGCATCTCTCTGCTGAACGCCAGGAGTGGCGCCATGCCCTCTGCTGCTGCTCTCTCTGCTTCTTTTGGCGGGCTGGCTGCCTTTCACTGCTGGATCGGCACATAGTACGCTGGGATGGGGTCAGGGATCCCTACTGGTGCTCTCCTCTACACTTACCTCCACAGCAGCAGGCTCGTCCCCATACTCGGCGCGCATCTCTCTGCTGAACGCCAGGAGTGGCGCCATGCCCTCTGCTGCTGCTCTCTCTGCTTCTTTTGGCGGGCTGGCTGCCTTTCACTGCTGCATCGGCACATAGTACGCTGGGATGGGGGGCAGGGATCCCTACTGGTGCTCTCCTCTACACTTACCTCCACAGCAGCAGGCTCGTCCCCATACTCGGCGCGCATCTCTCTGCTGAACGCCAGGAGTGGCGCCATGCCCTCTGCTGCTGCTCTCTCTGCTTCTTTTGGCGGGCTGGCTGCCTTTCACTGCTGCATCGGCACATAGTACGCTGGGATGGGGGGCAGGGATCCCTTCTGGTGTTCTCCTCTACACTTACCTCCACAGCAGCAGGCTCGTCCCCATACTCGGCGCGCATCTCTCTGCTGAACGCCAGGAGTGGCGCCATGCCCTCTGCTGCTGCTCTCTCTGCTTCTTTTGGCGGGCTGGCTGCCTTTCACTGCTGGATCGGCACATAGTACGCTGGGATGGGGGGCAGGGATCCCTACTGGTGCTCTCCTCTACACTTACCTCCACAGCAGCAGGCTCGTCCCCATACTCGGCGCGCATCTCTCTGCTGAACGCCAGGAGTGGCGCCATGCCCTCTGCTGCTGCTCTCTCTGCTTCTTTTGGCGGGCTGGCTGCCTTTCACTGCTGCATCGGCACATAGTACGCTGGGATGGGGGGCAGGGATCCCTACTGGTGCTCTCCTCTACACTTACCTCCACAGCAGCAGGCTCGTCCCCATACTCGGCGCGCATCTCTCTGCTGAACGCCAGGAGTGGCGCCATGCCCTCTGCTGCTGCTCTCTCTGCTTCTTTTGGCGGGCTGGCTGCCTTTCATTGCTGCATTGGCACATAGTACGCTGGGATGGGGGGCAAGGATCCCTACTGGTGCTCTCCTCTACACTTACCTCCACAGCAGCAGGCTCGTCCCCATACTCGGCGCGCATCTCTCTGCTGAACGCCAGGAGTGGCGCCATGCCCTCTGCTGCTGCTCTCTCTGCTTCTTTTGGCGGGCTGGCTGCCTTTCATTGCTGCATCGGCACATAGTACGCTGGGATGGGGGGCAGGGATCCCTACTGGTGCTCTCCTCTACACTTACCTCCACAGCAGCAGGCTCGTCCCCATACTCGGCGCGCATCTCTCTGCTGAACGCCAGGAGTGGCGCCATGCCCTCTGCTGCTGCTCTCTCTGCTTCTTTTGGCGGGCTGGCTGCCTTTCACTGCTGGATCGGCACATAGTACGCTGGGATGGGGGGCAGGGATCCCTACTGGTGCTCTCCTCTACACTTACCTCCACAGCAGCAGGCTCGTCCCCATACTCGGCGCGCATCTCTCTGCTGAACGCCAGGAGTGGCGCCATGCCCTCTGCTGCTGCTCTCTCTGCTTCTTTTGGCGGGCTGGCTGCCTTTCACTGCTGCATCGGCACATAGTACGCTGGGATGGGGGGCAGGGATCCCTTCTGGTGCTCTCCTCTACACTTACCTCCACAGCAGCAGGCTCGTCCCCATACTCGGCGCGCATCTCTCTGCTGAACGCCAGGAGTGGCGCCATGCCCTCTGCTGCTGCTCTCTCTGCTTCTTTTGGCGGGCTGGCTGCCTTTCACTGCTGGATCGGCACATAGTACGCTGGGATGGGGGGCAGGGATCCCTACTGGTGCTCTCCTCTACACTTACCTCCACAGCAGCAGGCTCGTCCCCATACTCGGCGCGCATCTCTCTGCTGAACGCCAGGAGTGGCGCCATGCCCTCTGCTGCTGCTCTCTCTGCTTCTTTTGGCGGGCTGGCTGCCTTTCACTGCTGCATCGGCACATAGTACGCTGGGATGGGGGGCAGGGATCCCTACTGGTGCTCTCCTCTACACTTACCTCCACAGCAGCAGGCTCGTCCCCATACTCGGCGCGCATCTCTCTGCTGAACGCCAGGAGTGGCGCCATGCCCTCTGCTGCTGCTCTCTCTGCTTCTTTTGGCGGGCTGGCTGCCTTTCACTGCTGCATCGGCACATAGTACGCTGGGATGGGGGGCAGGGATCCCTACTGGTATCTCCTCTACACTTACCTCCACAGCAGCAGGCTCGTCCCCATACTCGGCGCGCATCTCTCTGCTGAACGCCAGGAGTGGCGCCATGCCCTCTGCTGCTGCTCTCTCTGCTTCTTTTGGCGGGCTGGCTGCCTTTCACTGCTGCATCGGCACATAGTACGCTGGGATGGGGGGCAGGGATCCCTTCTGGTGCTCTCCTCTACACTTACCTCCACAGCAGCAGGCTCGTCCCCATACTCGGCGCGCATCTCTCTGCTGAACGCCAGGAGTGGCGCCATGCCCTCTGCTGCTGCTCTCTCTGCTTCTTTTGGCGGGCTGGCTGCCTTTCACTGCTGGATCGGCACATAGTACGCTGGGATGGGGGGCAGGGATCCCTACTGGTGCTCTCCTCTACACTTACCTCCACAGCAGCAGGCTCGTCCCCATACTCGGCGCGCATCTCTCTGCTGAACGCCAGGAGTGGCGCCATGCCCTCTGCTGCTGCTCTCTCTGCTTCTTTTGGCGGGCTGGCTGCCTTTCACTGCTGGATCGGCACATAGTACGCTGGGATGGGGGGCAGGGATCCCTACTGGTGCTCTCCTCTACACTTACCTCCACAGCAGCAGGCTCGTCCCCATACTCGGCGCGCATCTCTCTGCTGAACGCCAGGAGTGGCGCCATGCCCTCTGCTGCTGCCTCCTCGGCCTCCCTGGGCAAGCTCACTCTCACAGCGCCATCGGAAACATAGGCTGCGGGGATGGGGGGCAGCGGGGCGAGAGGCAGGTCCAGCTGGTGTGGGGGGGGGATGGGAAAGGGGAAGGCGAATGGGGCAGAGGAAGAAGGGGTGCGGGAGAGGGGGGGCTGGCATGGGTCAGACAATTATTGTCTCCTCTGCCTCTCTGGGCAGGCTGGCTGTCACTGCTACGTCAGAAACGTAGGATGCTGGGATGGGGGGCAGCGGGGCGAGAGGTAGGTCCAGCTGGTGTGGGGAAGAAGAGACACGGGAGGAAGGGGGGTGGCTTGAGACCAAGGATACATGCTGCCGCCTCCACTGCTTCGCTGGACTAGCTAACTTACTTGCTTAAACTTCTTGTATCTAGGAACGTTGGGTATCTCACTTCACCAGTACTAACGCTTCACCTACTTCTGGGACGCTGGCAAAAAAAAAAAAAAAAAAAAAAAAGTGCGTTGCTTACTAGTACTTCTTATAACCAATGCTACGCCTTTTTACTCACCCGGACTTCCTTGAATTGCACTCGTGGCAGGCTCTTCTGTTCCATTCCACCTGGAGAGGAAGGCCAACACCAAGAGCTACCAAGAATATGCAAGGATCTTGAAGCTGGAAAGGTTGGGTTGGGTTTCACACTTACCCGTACTTCCTTGAATTGCACTCGTGGCAGGCTCTTCTGTTCCACCTGTACAGACCAACAGCAAGAGAGGGCAGGGAGCAGTAGCAGAGAGCAGTGATACATGGATGAGTCAAGCTGTTTACTACTTTAACAGTACTGAGGGATTCAGTACGGTTTATCATCAACCACTCACCCTCGTGAGAGTCTCACGAAGCATTTCCATGAACAGGTAATATCCCACGCCGCCACCATCCCAAACGGTTGCCCCTCGCATGCTAGAGCACTTGCAGCACACTAGCTGCGCTGCGATCCACTCACCCTCGAATAATACATGTTTGAGATTTCTAGCGATCAGCTCACCCGTGCTTTTGAGGCGCCTCAAAAGTCATAATATATGTTTGAGATTTCTAGCGATCAGCTCACCCGTGTCAGCGTCTCATGAAGCATCTCCATGAACAGGTAATACCCCACGCCGCCCACATCCCCGCTCTGCCGCTCCCCAAACACGTCCCCAATGCCCCGGATGTCCATGTCCCTCTGCGCCAGCAGGTATCCCTCCCCCAGCCCGCTGTGCTGCTGCAGCGCCCTTAGCCGTTCCTGTTGAAACGGGAGAGGAAGGGGAGTGGGAGGCGGAGGGCAGGAGGCAGGAGGCAGGGAACAGGGGGCTTTGAGCAGAGGTGTATATGTGTGTTTAGAGTGGGCTGGAAGCAGCATCTGCCGCTCCCCAAACACGTCCCCAATGCCCCGAATGTCCATGTCCCTCAGCCGCTCCTGGTGTGTGCATGGGGCAAGCGGAAAGGGGCAACGGGACAAGGTGATAAGCGGCATGGGGAAGTGGTGCATTGGGCATGAGGCATGGGGCATGAGGCATGGGGCATGAGGCATGGGGCATGGGCAATGGGGCATGGGGCATGAGGCATGGGGCATGAGGCATGGGGCATGAGGCATGGGGCATGGGCAATGGGGCATGGGGCATGAGGCATGGGGCATGAGGCATGGGGCATGAGGCATGGGGCATGGGCAATGGGGCATGGGGCATGAGGCATGGGGCATGAGGCATGGGGCATGAGGCATGGGGCATGGGCAATGGGGCATGGGGCATGAGGCATGGGGCATGAGGCATGGGGCATGAGGCATGGGGCATGGGCAATGGGGCATGGGGCATGAGGCATGGGGCATGAGGCATGGGGCATGAGGCATGGGGCATGGGCAATGGGGCATGGGGCATGAGGCATGGGGCATGAGGCATGGGGCATGAGGCATGGGGCATGAGGCATGGGGCATGGGCAATGGGGCATGGGGCATGGGGCAGGGGGGATGGGGCAGGGGGCATGGGGCAGAGGGCATGGGGCAGGGGGGATGGGGCAGGGGGCAGGGGGCATGGGGCATGAACTTGGAGCAGGGCGTATGGAGCATGAGGTATGGAGATGTGCTTCAAGCACATAATAATCGAGATCTTTGCATCACAAACGCACCTGGTGACTTTTGAGTCGACTCAAAAGTCGCTTCAGGCACAGAATAATCAAGATCTTTGCATCACAAACGCACCTGGTGACTTTTGAGTCGACTCAAAAGTCGCTTCAGGCACAGAATAATCGAGATCTTTGCATCACAAACGCACCTGGTGACTTTTGAGTCGACTCAAAAGTCGCTTCAGGTACAGAATAATCGAGATCTTTGCATCACAAACGCACCTGGTGACTTTTGAGTCGACTCAAAAGTCGCTTCAGGTACAGAATAATCGAGATCTTTGCATCACAAACGCACCTGCGCTTCAGGTGTTAGGCAGTGCAGTGGCGGATGAAAGAGGTACGCATGGGCTGAGCTGCTGGATCGACCCACACGGCCTCGCAGCTGAAGGGGACGAAGGGGACAAGAAGAGGGAACCGACAGGAGCAGAGGCATGAAGAAGAGAGGGGACAGTGAGGAATGTAGGGATGGCACAGAAACTGCTCGAAAAAAGGTAATGGTACGATGCCTCCATTCTGCCCGAGAAAGGTAAGAATGGCTCAATACACCGTTTCTTGATACATTTCATGCAATGGAAGGCTTTCCTGCATATCTGAAACTTTGCACTGGCAATTGTTGAGTTGTTTTTGTTGTACTTTGTCCTTTAGATATATTCACTATTTTGTCCTTTTAATATATTCACATGTTAAAACTGGCCCCTTTGCACACCTTGATACCCTCTCCTTACCTGGTAGATCTGTGCGAGTCCAAACAGGTGAGTATCCTCGATAACAATCGTGTTGACAGTGCGAATGTCAATCCCGCTCTCAATGATGCTTGTGCACACCAGCACGTCTACTTCCCCTTCTCCAAACCGCTCCATCACTGCTTCAAGGTCCGTGGGGCGCAGCTGAATGGCAGGAAAGGGAGATCACAAGGGAATGGGAAAGATGATGCTCGTGCACACCAGCGTGTCTACCTCCCCTTCACGTGTAGAGAGGGTGTTTTTGAGACGTCTCAAAAACTGCTCGTGCATACCAGCTTGTCTACCTCCCCTTCACCAAGCCGCTCCATCCCTGCTTCAAGGCCTGTGGACGTCTTATCTTCGGAGCGTCTTAGAACAAATGCACTTTTACAAGGTCGGTGCGAAAGTAGAATGGAGATCCACGCCACATCAGCTTACCTTGCCGTGTGCCACGTCAGCATACCTTGCCGTGTGCCACGTCAACGCGGGCAGAAGGGAAGAGCTCCTCCAGAAGCATCTGAATCTCCTCTATGCCTGGTGTGACGTGGCACCATGGGATATGACGTGGCATCATAAGATACGATGTGGATGGGGGTTTAAAAGATGGAATAATAATACGAGGGGATTGCATTGGAAGAGGAGAGAAGAAATAAAATAGAGTACAGACAGAAAGGACTATGTCAGCAGATAGGAGATTATGTCAAACCACATAAACCAAACAGAATATTGCTACTAGATTTGCTCAACCGTGTTCAACTGTACTCACCTTCCACCCTCGGCACTGCATAGAACACCTGTCCACCCCTCTCCAGCTCCTCCCCAGTGGCTCTCCTCACATCCTGAAGTGGTAAACAAGCTGTCAACCTCGCTCCACTGCACTCAACCGCACTGGACAACACCGTGCTCACCTTCCACCCTGGGCACCACATAGAACACCTGTCCACCCCTCTCCAGCTCCTCCCCGATCGCTCTCTTCACATTTTCCAAATCGAACTCCAAGAGGTGTGTGTCGATGGGCTGACGCTCGGGAGGGGGGATGATATCGCTGTGTACCTCGCTCCACCGCACTGAACCGCACTGCACTGTACAGCACTCACCTTCAACCCTTGGCACCACATAGAACACCTGGCCACCCCTCTCCAGTTCCTCCCCGATCGCTCTCTTCACATTTTCCAAATCGAACTCCAAGAGGTGTGTGTCGATGGGCTGTCGCTCAGGGGGAGGGGTGGTGATGCGACTGATGGGGAGAGATGGGGAGGGGGGGAATGGGAGGGGGAATGGGAGGGAGGGAGGACAGAGTTGATTGTTGGGCTGTTTCAAGGTCTGGCTGGTCTACACATCAATAGCCAACAAGTGTGTGTCGATGGGCTGGCGCTCGGGGGGAAGGGGGGTTGGTGATGCGACTGATGGTTGAACGGAGGGGGAGGGGAGAATAATAAGAGAGCATGGGGAGGGTGGGGATGGGAAGAGCACAGAGTATAAGGCCTGAGCTGTTTCAACATCCTCAGTATCGAACTCCAACAGGTGCATGTCGATGGGCTGGCGCTCGGGAGGAGGGGGCATGAGAGGGGGGATGACACGAGGAGCACAGAGGCTAGGGTTGGCTGCTGTAACCCATGTTTTTTGAGAATTTTCAAAAAACAGAGGCTAGGGTTGGCTGCTGTAACCCATGTTTTTTGAGAATTCTAAAAAAAAAAGAGGCTAGGGTTGGCTGCTGTAACCCATGTTTTTTGAGAATTCTCAAAAAACAGAGGCTAGGGTTGGCTGCTGTAACCCATGTTTTTTGAGAATTCTCAAAAAACAGAGGCTAGGGTTGGCTGCTGTAACCCATGTTTTTTGAGAATTCTCAAAAAACAGAGGCTAGGGTTGGCTGCTGTAACCCATGTTTTTTTAGAATTCTCAAAAAACAGAGGCTAGGGTTGGCTGCTGTAACCCATGTTTTTTGAGAATTCTAAAAAAACAGAGGCTAGGGTTGGCTGCTGTAACCCATGTTTTTTGAGAATTCTCAAAAAACAGAGGCTAGGGTTGGCTGCTGTAACCCATGTTTTTTTAGAATTCTCAAAAAACAGAGGCTAGGGTTGGCTGCTGTAACCCATGTTTTTTGAGAATTCTCAAAAAACAGAGGCTAGGGTTGGCTGCTGTAACCCATGTTTTTTTAGAATTCTCAAAAAACAGAGGCTAGGGTTGGCTGCTGTAACCCATGTTTTTTGAGAATTCTCAAAAAACAGAGGCTAGGGTTGGCTGCTGTAACCCATGTTTTTTGAGAATTCTCAAAAAACAGAGGCTAGGGTTGGCTGCTGTAACCCATGTTTTTTTAGAATTCTCAAAAAACAGAGGCTAGGGTTGGCTGCTGTAACCCATGTTTTTTTAGAATTCTCAAAAAACAGAGGCTAGGGTTGGCTGCTGTAACCCATGTTTTTTGAGAATTCTCAAAAAACAGAGGCTAGGGTTGGCTGCTGTAACCCATGTTTTTTGAGAATTCTCAAAAAACAGAGGCTAGGGTTGGCTGCTGTAACCCATGTTTTTTGAGAATTCTCAAAAAACAGAGGCTAGGGTTGGCTGCTGTAACCCATGTTTTTTTAGAATTCTCAAAAAACAGAGGCTAGGGTTGGCTGCTGTAACCCATGTTTTTTGAGAATTCTCAAAAAACAGAGGCTAGGGTTGGCTGCTGTAACCCATGTTTTTTTAGAATTCTCAAAAAACAGAGGCTAGGGTTGGCTGCTGTAACCCCCTCCACATCGAACTGCAACAGGTGCGTGGAGCATGGGGAGAGCAGAGATTATTAGGCTGGGCTGTTTTACTGTTTTCCACATCCAACTCCAACAGGTGTGTGTCGAGAGTGTAAGGCATGAGAGGGGAGGAGGATGGGGAATGGAGTTGGAATGATGGGGAAAGCTCAAAGTACAAAGCTGACTAGTCTAGTTTTGAGGCGTGATAAAGGTAACATTTTGAGGCGCCTCAAAACTGGGAAGGGGGCATGGAGCTGGAATGACGGGGAAAGCTCAAAGAACAAAGCTGACCTTCGCATACTCCTCGCATTTGCATGTGACCAGCCTTTTGCATATACCTCGCATGTGTAAAAGAGCTGCATGTGTGCTGCAGCACGCACCTGGCATCTCTGAACCCGTGCGCGGACATGTAGAGTGTGCGAGGGATGGGGGTGGCTGAGAGCAAGAGCACGTGCACACTCGCGGTTGTGACACCGCACACATGCACGCATGCTGCATGCTGCAGCACTCACCTCGCGTCTCTGAACCCGTGCATGGACATGTAGAGTGTGCGGGGGATGGGGGTGGGTAGCTGATAGCATGAGCACGTGCGATTCTGACACGCATGAATGCTGCATGTTCCGCACTCACCTCGCGTCTCTGAATCCGTGCATGGACATGTAGAGTGTGCGGGGGATGGGGGTGGCCGAGAGAGTCAACACGTCCACGCTGGTCTTGAGGCTGCTGATCCGCTCTTTCTGCCTCACTCCAAAGCGCTGATGAGGGGAGATGAGGTGGGGGAGGGAGAGTGGGGGGGGGAGAGTGGGGGGGGAGAGTGGGGGGGGAGAGAGGGAGAGGTATGGGATACCATGGGAAACTGGATATCATACATACGGGGAGCTTGCCAGGTTGATACACACTGTATATATACATATATGTGAATATACATATATACATTTACATTTATATATATATGTATACATATACATGCCTCAAATGGTATACATATGTGACATTTGTTACCTGCTCCTCATCCATGACGAGCAGCCCCAGGTTGTGGTAGACCACCTGTGCTCCTGGCCCCTGGCAGGTTGGCAAACGCTATAGACTATACATGTGCATAATCATATATGTATATATATATATATATATTACAGTGTACAGTTACACTACCTGCTCCTCATCAATGACGAGCAGCCCCAGGTTGTGGTAAACCACCTGCGGCCTCAGCAGTTAACGAGGTACTGTATCAAATACATACATATACACATACACATACACATACACATACACATACACATACACATACACATACACATACACATACACATACACATACACATACACATACACACACACGTACACGTACACATACACATACATACACACACACACACGTACACGTACACGTACACGTACACGTACACGTACACGTACACATACACATACACATACACGTACACGTACACGTACACGTACACGTACACGTACACGTACACGTACACGTACACGTACACGTACACGTACACGTACACGTACACGTACACGTACACGTACACGTACACGTACACGTACACGTACACGTACACGTACACGTACACGTACACGTACACGTACACGTACACATACACATACACATACACATACACATACACATACACATACACATACACATAAATAGATATGTATTTATTACCTGCTCCTCATCAATCATGAGCAGTCCCAGGTTGTGGTAGACCACCTGCGGACTCAGCAGTTAACGAGGTACTGTATCAAATACATACATACACATACATATACACATACACATACACATACACATACACATACACATACACATACACATACACATACACATACACGTACACATACACGTACACATAAATAGATATGTATTTATTACCTGCTCCTCATCAATGACGAGCAGTCCCAGGTTGTGGTAGACCACCTGCGCCCCCAGCAAGGAGTGCGTGCCTGCCACCACGTCTTGTGTGCCGTCCCGTATCCCTGCTAGCACCTCCTTCTTCTCACTCTCCTTCTGTGATATGACACGATGTGTCGCATTCAGGGAAAGGAGGATAGAAAGTGAGAGATGGGAGTACAGGTGAGTGTCTGTCACCACATATAGTGTGCCGTCCCTTATCCCCGCCAGCACCTCCTCCTTCTCACTCTCCTTCTGTGAAGCGTTTGAAAAGGAAAAGGAGTGCGTGCGGAATGATGAAAGGTGATAATGATGAAAGGTGATAATGATGAAAGGTGATAATGATGACCATGCACGAGTCTGCCTACTTGTCACCACAACCTGAAATCGCTTGAACCACCTGATAAAGTGCTGGAAAGCACCTGAACCCACCTGGAATCGTGAGAGAAGAGCCACACGAACGCCATAGTCCTTGAGGCGCGCAGATATGACCTTGTAGTGCTGCTTGGCCAGCACTGTGGTTGGGGCCAGTACCATAGCCTGGGGAGGCGAAGGGGGATGGGGAGAGGACGGGGAAAGAAGAAAGGAAGTTGGGTTGCAGGCTTTAACCAGTCCTTGAGGCGCGCAGATATGACCTTGTAGTGCTGCTTGGCCAGCACTGTGGTTGGGGCCAGTACCATAGCCTGCATGGGGAGAGGAGGAGGGGGGGAGGAGGGGAATGAGGGCGAGGAGGGAGGATGGAGGGGGGATTGGGAAGACGGGGAGAAATACACACACCCACACACAGACACACACACACACCCACACACAGACACAGACACACACCCACACACAGACACACACACACACACCCACACACAGACACACAGACACACACATATTCCCCCCCCCCCCCCCTCCTCATTCCCCCCAGCGCACACACGCGTCACATCTGTCCATTATCCAGCATACACACCTGTCACATACCTGTCTCTTGTCGAGAACTGCTCTGAAGATGGCCCGTACCGCCACCTCTGTCTTGCCGAAGCCCACATCACCACACACAAGGCGGTCCATGGGGGTCTCCCTCTCACACATGTCCCTCTCCACGTCTAGAAACGCCTGTTGGAGGAGGAAAGAGGGGAAAGGAAGAGAGGACGGGGTAGGTGCCTCAAATGTCTACTCAAAGCCGGCACAGCATCGCCACACACGAGGCGGTCCATGGGGGTCTCCCTCTCACACATGTCCCTCTCACACATGTCCCTCTCACACATGTCCCTCTCCACGTCTAGAAACGCCTGTGTGGATGTGGGAAGGGAGGGGAGTGGTGGGGGACGGGAGAGGAAGAGGGTGGATTGAAGAGGTGACTCCTCAGTCAAGTAGAAGCAAACACAGCACTGCCACACACACAAACCAGTCAGTCCATCGGGGTCTCCCTCCCCGCATGTCACCCACCCACCCACCCACCCACCCACCACTCATCCACCCTCTCACCCACCCACCATTCACTCAACGCCCCTCTCTTCGACCAACCCACCCACGCACCCACGTGCTCCTGGTCTGCACAAACGACTTCCCAAACCGCTGTATTTCGGTGTCAAACTTGGGCTAGTACACGTGGCGCCTCTGTTGTAGCCTCTTGACATAGACGTCCATCATCTTGCCCACCATCCGCTCCACTGCCTCCTTGCCCTTCCTTGTCGTCACTCTGAGGCACCGAAACTTGTTCTTTCCTTGCTGAAAACTGAGACCAGACCCACCGACCTACCTGTTCCTGGTCCGGGGTTGGCTTGTAAGCAAACGACTCGCCAAACCGCTGCATTTCCGCATCAAACTTGGGGTAAACGGGGCGCCTCTGCCGCAGGCGCTTCACATAGACGTCCATCATCTCGCCCACCATGCGCTCCACTGCCTCCTTGCCCTTGGCCTGCCGCTTCTCCCACGCACTCGCGTCGTTCATCTTGCTCAGGGGAGGGGATCGGCCAGGGGGACCGGCGCTGGGGGTGGGATTGGAGCGGGGGCAGAGGCGGGGAGAGGGGAGATGGGCGGAATGGGCGCGCGGGGGTAGGGAGGCGTGAGGGTAGGGTCGAGGGAGCAGGAGAAGGAGCGGAGGAGTAACACGTCAATGGTTTCGCCCCTTGTTACTCACATGCTAAACCGGTAAAGCACTTGTTTCGCCTGCGTCGCACTGGGTTTCGCCCTGCAGCAGCAGGTACTTCACCTTCAGCTGCCGCCATCCCCCCCTGAACCATTCCCCCCCCTCCCTCCCTCTCCTCCCCCCATTCCCCCTGGTTACTCACATGCCAAACAGAACTTATTTCGCCTGCGTCGCACTGGGTTTCGCCCTGCAGCAGCAGGTACTTCACCTTCAGCTGCCGCCATCCCCCCCTGAACCATTCCCCCCCCTCCCTCCCTCTCCTCCCCCCATTCCCCCTGGTTACTCACATGCCAAACAGAACTTATTTCGCCTGCTTCGGACTGGGTTTCGCCCTGCAGCAGCAGGTACTTCACCTTCAGCTGCAACCCCTGAACCACCCCCCCCCCCCCCCCCCCCCCCCCCTCCCCCTCCCCCCTCTCCTCCCCCCATTCCCCCTGGTTACTCACATGCCAAACCGGTACAGCACTTGTTTCGCCTGTTTCGCACTGAGTTTCGCCGACCCATCCGCGAATTGCAGCAGCAGGTACTTCACCTTCCGCTGCCGCCCCGCTGGCACCTCCACCCGTGTCCCCGTAAACCTACATATCCCCAGCTTCTTATGCACCAACACATCGCCAGGAACCAGCGTCTTCACGTCCACCCTAAAGCCGTTGCTCTCGCCGCTCTCCCCACTGCCGCTGGTTGTGGCGCTGCTGCCGCTTCTGCTGCTGCTGCTACTACCACTTAGCGAGCCATCCCCAGACGACTCCCGCTCATCCCCATCACTGTCGCTCTCGTCAGCCACTCGAGAACCTGGGGCAGTTCTTACTGAACCGTTATTGACCGCCCCGTTATTAGACTCCTCGCCGCTTTTTCTTACTGTAGCAGGACCGCTGTTGCTGAGTTTCGCCACGCGGCTTCTCAGCGCCGTCCAGTCCACGTCAGCATCTCTTCTGTTGCTTCCGGTACTAGGTCTCGCGTTTCCGTTACTGCTTCCTCGTTTCTGAGCATTCCCGTCTGTCCGTCGAACTGGCTCCGATTTAAAGTCCCCCGTTACAAGCGTCGCTGAGCGACGAGCAGCCCCGTTAAGTGTCTCCTCGTTAGTGGAATAAGCTCCGTACTCCGATTCCCCGTCCGTCTCGGGGCCGTCACCGCCGAACCGAGCGCGAAGTACAGAAGCGGAACCTCGTGTACCCGTTATTGACTGACTCCCTAGCCGTCGTTCCTGCAACCCTGAAGAATCTAACCTTACCGGTGTTTGTCTACGCAATCCCTGAAATGAAGCGAACGGCGAACGGCCATCATCTGACAATGCAAGATGCCGGAATCTAGAAGCCCTCAGGGGATTAGGTTCAGGGTTTAGCTGTTCTCTGTAACTGGATTGAGGAAAAAGACCATTGTTACCCCGAAAGTCAGGGATTGAACGGCTACTGTAACTAGATGCTGGATGAAGCCTCGAGAAGGGAGACACGCGATGTGATTTAGGAGCCACATACGCTAAGTGGCTCCTAACGGCTGAGTTCACTGGGTCTAGAGAACGCTGACGTGGCAGCGATTGTGGAGCTCCATGTCGACAGAGGAAGGATCGGTGCGGTGATCCTAAAGGGGAAGACCACTGACATTGCACCATCAACACGCTTTCCGTGCCACGTAAGCAGCTCATGGTGAATGCGGGATCAGAATGAGAAGGTCAATTAAGGCTACGAGGGGCACTGAGTGAGTGCGGTAAGTCTACGGGAAGTGACTGCAACCACGAAGCGGCTTCGTTATATCAGGACAGGACCCAAAAGTTACTGAGACACCGCTTCGAAACGAGTTCCATTCATCGTGGCGTCCACCGTCGCGAGTCGCGACACTGCTAACTGAAAGCACAACATTGGCGCGCACGTGTAACCTAAATGCAAGCTTGCAAATATGCTCAAGGAATCCGTATCCTTCAGGGAAGGGTGTGGTAGATTTTTGCTTGGGGTGGAAAGGGTAACTTCCTGTGCACAGTGTGTGAAGCCACCATAATGCCTGAAACCACCATAATGCCTGAAACCACACTACCCACTGATACTAAGTGCTTTTGGAATTTGATCCATTTGACGATCAGTTTGTTGGGGGTGAAAGCTCGAGAGAGATCCAATGGGCTCGAGGTGGAGGGATGCTCGTCTGACCACCATCATCGCGGTGTCGACACGCGTCGCTGACGGAGTGGTGTAACGTACGGTATGCCTTGTATCTGATAAGGTTAGAATCACTTCCCGTTAATCACGCAAAAAACAGTGCTCAGTAACGCATATAGTCGCTGTAATGGTCCTCTCAGTAAGCTGGGTCCAGACAATAAACAAAGCTGTTTGAAAAAAAAATTCATTATAAAGGTTATATTTAGTTGATTCATGTTTTTTATACAAGGGCCTACGATTTTTTTACATTTCTACGTCTATCATACGTTACGGTCACGATAATGTATGGTGTATATCAGCTATTGTATTCTTTTGAAGACTCTACAAGTGGAAAGTTCTGGCCGTCCGATAAGAGATGAAACATTTCCAAATCTTGCGATCTAAACAGAGCGAGCCGCCAACACCCCCTCACCACAATCGAACAAAATGCCTCAGCGGAACGCCGCTGGGACCTGCGCTTGACACCCTTGTAACAGGACTGATCCCCTCCCCCCCACAAAGTCGAATTTCTCCATTCAATTTATTAGTTGTAGCCACTTCGGATGGTGAAGAGTTGGAGGAGCCGCATCGAATTTTGTTTGTCATCTGCCCGAAAACGGCACATATTTCGTGCTGACATGCAAGGAGTCGAGCTGTCCTCTCATAAATCAATCTCACGAAGGCCCTTCAAGCTTCGTCAATACCATATAACCAGCTTTCACCATTTCGTGCGACCCGCAACCACTCGTTTCCAGTCTTCGAATGCAGGGAAGCGAAAGCCCCCGCGTCGCGTGCGACCCATTTTCTGGGTTCCCTCCGTGGCGTTGAAAGATTTCTCGTGTGAGATTTCGCCAATCCGCTTCCTCTACTCTCCCCCCCATCCCTGAAAGGCCTTCCTGTTCCTCCCTCGGTTTCTTCGAGCGCTTTTTTTCCTCCCTCTCACTCAACCCTCCAACCCTGCTGTTCTCTCCCTCCCTCCCTGATTTCACTCGCTTGATTTGTGTTGTGCTATATGTTGGTTTCGGCTTTGCCTCGCCGGCTTTTTCCCTGCAGAACCCACCGAGCAGCCCTAATAAGCTGATCCACATCCCTTTCGGTCTGGCTCTCCACGTTGTGCCCTGTTTACCTCTTATTAGGACAAGCTTGTTTGGCCGTAACTTGACATTGACTAGCTTTCTTACGTCGTAGGATCTGATTTCGTGGTCAGATTGAATAGGTTTCCGTCTCGTTCGCTGAACTCGTTCTGGCTTCGTCCCAGTAGCTTCTAGTGCGTCGATTACGGAAGATTCAGGAGCTCGCGTTTCTTCATAATTAGATCCAGGTACGTAGCGATTTGTTCACGGCAAGGGCTCCTGGTCGTTTGTTAATCATGGGATGCCTCTGTCGAAGTTATAACCATTTCCTCGGTAGTTAGTAGACGCAAGCCTTCTTCTGCGTAAGCTTATTCACGTCAGTACGGAAGAATGTAATGATTTCTCTTCCATTCCGGGCATCCGTTATCTGTTTACATACCTCAAGTTTCGATGTACATGACGATTTCCTTCGTTGAGCTTATTTCTCATTTCTCGCTAGCAGCCTACTTTCTCACTCAATCTGAGTTTCGTTACTTTTATGTAACGTTGGTTCGGTATCCGCAATCGGGCCATTATTTGCGAGTTTTTAGATTCATTTAAGACTAGAACTTACTTCGTTGACGCTTACTCTACATCTCTCACCCGGTCCTCTCGTTGCTTTATTTCCCAAACTGGTCACGACTCACGAGTCGGCATGGACCATTGTTTTTGACTAACTGGATTCTGTCAAAGTTCGTTTCTGACTTACTATGTTGATCCTTCGACGAGCGTTGAATCCTGATTCAAACGACTTTTGATTCGTCTTGAAGCTCGACATTTTGCGTTCTCCTTTCTTTGATTCCAAAACTCGATTCCTCATCTCGTCCTTTCATACTTCCGCACGACTTTTTTTTAAATTTCTTACTGCTATTGGAAGATGCGGGCACGAAGTCGTAGTTATTCGCGAACAAGTTTCGAAACGAGCTAATACGCGCTATGAGATTCATTTCCGTGTCTTTTTCCGTTTACACCGCAGGGCTCGGACGTCTGATTATGGGAGATGAACGGCCTCGCGAAGTAACAGTTATTCGCGAATTGTTTTTTGAGATACCTAACAATTCAATATCTTCTCTCCTTTTGTATCTGTCGCAGGTCTATCCATGGGTGATCGGCCTCGCGAACTAGCGGTTACTCGCGAACGCCAGCGACGACGAAGCTGCGTAGTGTACGTGTAGACACGATGGATCCAAAATCGAATCGCACGACGACGACGACGGCGAATACGACGGCGACGAAGACGACGTCGTCGGGTCTGGTTACGCAGCAGGACGGAAGCGCGAAGGAGATAGCGGAGAGAGGAAAAGCGAAAGAGAACGCGCAGCGCGGAAACGCGACGGAGGACGGAAACGCGACTGGGAGCGGAAACGTTAAGGCGAGCGGAAACGCTGAGGTGAGCGGAAACGCTGAGGCGAGCGGAAACGCGGCGGAGGTAGTACAGGGGGAGCGCGCGACGAGGAGTGCGCAGAGCGGGGGAGCGCGCGCAATGGGAAACTCGCAGAGTGCGGACGCGAAGGCGGAGATCGGTAGCGGTGAGGGGAAGAAAGTAGCTGGGGGCGCGACGGTTAAGGAAACGAGTCAGCGCGGCGGCGACGCGAAGGAGAACGTACGGGGCGCTAGTGTTAGCGTGAGCGTGGATCCAAAGAGAGACGTTAGCGACGCGCGCGCGAAAGGCGACGCGAGCGCGAAAGGCGACGCGAGCGCGAAAGTAGACGCGCGCGCGAAAGGAGACATGAGTGCGGAAGGGGAGGCGAACACGAAAGCAGGCGCGAGTGCCACGGGGAACATGGAGGGTGGGAGCGGGAAGGAGGGGAACCAAGGTGGAAACGCGAAGGCAAGCGAGCATGGCGTGACTGAAAAGAACAAGGGTGCAGAGAAGGTTGTACATGCACGTGACGCAGCAGGGCCCCCCGCTGCCCCCACTCCGCCTTCATCCTCTCCCACAACTGCATCCACACCTGCATCCACACCTGCATCCACACCTGCATCCACACCTGCATCCACACCTGCATCCACACCTGCATCCACACCTGCATCCACACCTGCATCCACACCTGCATCCACACCTGCATCCACACCTGCATCCGCACCCGTATCTGCCTCCGCACCTGCATCCAAGGCGACAAATGCACCTGCGCCTGCACCTGCTCCCACTGGTCCCACAGGCCCTACCAGTCCTCCTTGCTTGAAACCTAAGCCTCCAGCTGCCACCAAGCCTTTACCAGCTTCTGCTGCCAAACCCTCCACGCACCAGCCCCCGCCTCTTCCCCTGCCGCCCCCTCGTCCCCAGCCTTCCTCTCTCTCCCAGCCTCCACCTCTCCCCCTGCCTCCCACCAAACCGTTGCTGGCGTCAGCCAATGCACCGCCAGCAGCTGCACCAAAGTCATCACCTCCCCTGGCCCCTCCCAGCGGCCCAGGGAAGACAGCTCCACCAACAGCAGTGCTAGGGCCAGCAGCAACGGCAGCAGCGCCGGCAGCATCACCGAAGCTATTGGCTGCTGCTCAATCTCCCAGTGGCACAGGGAAGGCAGCTCTGCCAGCAGCGGCACTCATACCGTCGCCTCCCCTGGCTCCTCCTCCCAGTGACCCAGGAAAAACAGGTTCAGCAACACCAGCGCCAGCGGCACCGGCAGCAACACCAACGCCAGCTCCGCAAGCAGCTCTCAAGCCATCGCCTCCCCTTGCTCCTCCTCCCAGTGGCCCAGGGAAAACAGGTTCAGTAACACCAGCGCCAGCGGCGCCGGCAGCAACACCAACGCCAGCTCCGCAAGCAGCTCTCAAGCCATCACCTCCCCTTGCTCCTCCTCCCAGTGGCCCAGGGAAAACAGGTTCAGTAACACCAGCGCCAGCAGCGTCAGCAGCAGCGCCAGCAGCAGCACCAGCAGCAGCGCCAGCAGCGTCAGCAGCAGCGCCAGCAGCAGCACCAGCAGCAGCGCCAGCAGCAACGCCAGCAGCTCCGCAAGGAGCACCCAAACCCTCATCTCCCCCTGCGCGCGGCTCCATAGGTAAAACAGCGCCAGCAGGAGCGGCAGCAGCACCCAAGCCCTCATCTCCTCCTGCCCCCAGCTCCACAGGTAAACCAGCACCAGCAGGAGCAACAGCAGTGCCAGTAGCAGCAGCAGCAGCAGCAGCAGCAGCAGCAGCAGCAGCAGCAGCAGCAGCAGCAGCAGCAGCAGCAGCAGCAGCAGCAGCAGCAGCAGCGTCAGCGCCTGCAGCAGCCACACCCAAGCCCTCATCTCCCCCTGCTCCCGGCTCCACAGGTAAATCAGCGCCAGCAGCAGGGGCAGGAGCAGCAGCACCCAATCCTGCCAATGCCAACAGTGCAGTTCCAGCCAAAGTTACTACTAGTACGAGTACTAGTGCCAGTGCAGTGACAGCTTCAAAAGTCAGCCGAGTTCAGTCAACCCACCCTCCTCCTCTTCCTCTGCCTCCCTCTAAACCCACTCCATCTTCCTCACAACCCATTGTGGCTCCACCTGTTGCTGCTGCACCCGCTAGTGCTGCCCCCGCGCCTGCTGCTGCATCTGCCGCTTCCCGCCCTTCCGGTGCGAATGCTGCTGCACCCAACCCCCCTTCTACTGCTGCTGCAGCTGCTGTTTCCAAACCTATCACTGTTGTTTCCAAGCCTGCTACTGCTGCTGCTGTTTCCAAGCCTGCTGCGGCGGTGTCGCCGGCTGCTGCTGCCAAACCTCCAGCTGCCAAGCCGGCAACTGCTGGTGCGGCCAAGCCTCCACCAACACCCCAGCCTGCCGCTGCAGTAACCAAAGCACCCACTCATCCAACTCCTTCAGCCAAGGCTCCACCAACATCCCAACCGACCACTGCCTCCCCTGCAGCAACAGCAGCAGCCAAATCACCCACCCCTCCCCCTACTGCCGCCACCCCTCCCGCTGCTGCTTCTTCAAGTGCAAGTGCATCTGCATCTACTCCTTCTCCTGCCCTTACGCTTGCCCGTGATTCTGCACCTGTGCCTGCCCTTGTTTCTGCCCCTGTGCCTGCCCGTGTTTCTGCCCCTACACCTGCCCGTGTTTCTGCCCCTACTCCTGCCCGTGCTCCTGCCCCTACTCCTGCCCGTGTTTCTGCCCCTGCTACAGCTCCCACTGGAGTCCAGCCGTCAACAGTCAAAGGACAGCCCTCAGCTGTAGCAGCGAAACCACAGCCTTCAGCTGTAGCAGAAAAACCACAGCCTTCAGCTGTAGCAGCGAAACTACAGCCTTCAGCTGTAGCATCAAATCCACAGCCTTCAGCTGTAGCAGCAGCTGCAGCTCCACCTGCTGCAGCTGTAGCAGCTGGCAGAACAGGAATTCAGCTGGCAGCTGTAGCGGGTGCACATGCGGCAACTGTAGCGGGTGCCGCGGCAACTGTAGCGGGCGTAAATGCGGCAGCTGTAACGGGCGTAAATGCGGCAGCTGTAGCGGGCGTAGATGCGGCAGCTGTAGCGGGCGTAAATGCTGCTACTGCAGCAAGTGCAAATCGGTCAAACACAGGGACAACTGTAGCTGGTGGGAAGCCAGGGCCAGCTGTAGCAGCTGTGACTGCAGGAAAGCCTGGTTTGGGGGCTGTAGCTGCAGGGACACAGGGAGATAAAGAAATTCCTGCCCCTGTCACGGCTGTAGCGGTTGGCAGGCTGGGAGTGCAATCAGCAGCTGTAGCGGGAGGAAAGGCAGGGCCATCTGTAGCAGGAGGGAAGCCTGGGCCGGCTGTAGCAGGAGGGGCGGCAGGGCCGGCCGTAGCAGGAGGGAAACCAGGGCCGGCTGTAGCAGGATGGAAGCCTGGGCCGGCTGTAGCAGGAGGGGCGGCAGGGCCAGGTGCAGCGGGTACAATGCGGGAAGAAGCTGCAGCAGCCATAGCAGCAGCTGTAGCTTCTATAGCAGCAACAAGAATGGGTGGAACTCCAGTGGCTGTAGCTGCACAGACTGCTACAGCCGGCTCAGCTACAGCCATCAAATCTGCGGCAATTACACAGTCTGCTACAGCTGGGCAGTCTCGTGTAGGGCCACAGTCCGCTACAGCCGGCCCGTCTGCTACAAATGCACAGACTGGTGGTGTAGCCCCATTGAAAGCTGTAGCCCCACCAACAGCTGTAGCACAACCGATAAAGGCACCCACACCACCACCACTAGCACCAGGGCAGAAGGGTGTAGTGCAATCAGGGGGAATGCAGCAGCAGATTGGGGTGCAGAAAACACCGCCTGTAGCACAGAAGGGTGTAATACAAAAAGGGGGAGCGCAGCAGCCGCCTGTAGCGCAGACAGGTGGAGCAGCACAGCAGGCTGTAGCACAAAAAGCACCACTTGCAGCCCAGCAGGCTGTAGCACAGCAGGCAGCAGCACAGCAGGCTGTAGCGCAAAAAACACCCGCTGGGCAGGCAACGAAGGCGCCTGCTGGTGCTGTTGCCTCAAGGCCACACGCTCCCTTCCCTTCCCTGCACCCCCCAGGAGGCAACCCAGGGAAGCAAACCCCAGCAGCTACTGCCGCTACACCAAAGCAGCCCCAGCAGCCCCAGCAGCCCCAGCAGTCCCAAATAATTACTGCAGCGCAGCAAAAGCAGTCACTTCCATCATCCACGTCAACCTCCCTGCCCGCCAAGTATATTGGTGCGACTTTTGACAATTCTCAAAAGTCGTCCCAAACCATCACTGCAGCGCAGCAAAAGCAGTCACTTCCATCATCCACGTCAACCTCCCTGCCCGCCAAGTATATTGGTGCGACTTTTGACAATTCTCAAAAGTCGTCCCAAACCATCACTGCAGCGCAGCAAAATCAGTCACTTCCATCCTCCACGTCGACCTCCCTGCCCGCCAAGCCAGCAGCTCCTTTCCTTGCAAGGTCCTCGTCATTCCCGCTAGGCAGGGCGGCAGCCGGGCAGCAGGCTCCCGCAGCCACGATCTCCCAGCTGGTCGCTCAGAAGAAGCTGCTGCAGGCACCTCTGGGGCGGGCTGCAACTGGTGCAGGCGGTACTGCTGGTGCTCGTGGTGGTACTCCTTGGGGTGGTGTTGGGGGTGGTGGTACTGCTGGTGCTGCTGCTGCTGCTAATGCTGCTGCTGGTGGTGTAGGTGGTGGTTCTGCTGGTACTGCTTCTGGTGCTGCTTCCGGCACTGCTTCTGGTGCTGCTGCCGGTGGTGCTGCTGGTGGTGCTGGTGCTGGTGCTGGTGCCGGTGGTGCTGCTGCCGGTGGTGCTGCTGGTGGTACTGGTGCTACTGGGGGGGGTGTGCTACAGGTGTTGAGGCAAGTGCAAGCGCAGAGGCAACAGGAGGCCTTGCAGGCCAAGGCTCGGCAGCAGGGAGGGCAGCAACAGCAGCTCCAGAAGCAGCAGCAGCAGCAGCAGCAGCAGCAGCAGCAGCAGCAGCAGCAGCAGCAGCAGCAGCAGCAGCAGCAGCAGCAGCAGCAGCAGCAGCAGCAGCAGCAGCAGCAGCAGCAGCAGCAGCAGCAGCAGCAGCAGCAGCAGCAGCAGCAGCAGCAGCAGCAACAGCAACAGCAACAGCAACAGCAGCAATTGCAACAACAATACCAGCAGCAGCAGCAGCAGCAGCAACACCAACGACAGCTGATGCTACAACAACAGCAGCAACAGCAACAACATCAGAGGCAACAACAGCAGCAACTACAGCAGCAGCAACGGCAACAGCAACAGCAACAGCAGCAGCAGCAGAGACTACAGCAGACACAGCAGCAGCAACAACAGCAACAACAACAGCAACAGCAGCAACAGCAAGCACAGCAGCAGCAGCAGCAGCAGCAGCAGCAGAGCCAGCCTGTACAGAACTTGAAGCAGGCGGTTCGGGCAAAGAAAGTGCACGACCCAGACAAACCCACCAGGGGACGGGGACGACCTCGGAAGAACCCTATAAAGGAGAACCCAAAAAAGGAAAATCATGTAAAGGAGAGCTCTATGAAGGAGAACCCTGTAATGGGGAATGCTATAAAGGAAAGTTTGGTAAAGGCTCCAACAGGGGGGGGACTAGTTGTCTCATCTTTGGGGGTTCAAGGGGAGAGGCAGGAGCAGCAGCAGCAGCAGCAGCAGCAGCAGCAGCAGCAGCAGCAGCAGCAGCAGCAGCAGCAGCAGCAGCAGCAGCAGCAGCAGCAGCAGCAGCAGCAGCAGCAGCAGCAGCAGCAGCAGCAGCAGCAGCGGCGGCGGCAAGAGCAGGAAGCGGTGGGAAAAGAGAAAGGAGGCGGAGGGATGGAGAACGGGGAGCAGGGACGAACAGAGAGGAGGGAGGGATGGAAGGATGTGCAATTGGTGCAGCAGCTGAAAGAGCAAACGCAGCAGCAACAGCAGCAGCAGCAGCGGCAGCAGCAGCAAGAATCAAACGTCTCTCAGTTGAAGGAGCAGCAGCAGGCAGGGGCAGGGAAGTCCCAGCCGATTCACACCTGGCCTGAGGAACTACCATTCCCCCTCCCCCAGTTCTCCCTTCCCCAGTTCCACCTCCCTCAACTGCCCCTTCCCCAGCTCCTTTCCCGCCCCCCTCCTCCAGGCCTCTCCCTTCCCCCTCATGCTTCCCCCGCTCCCCCTGGTGCCCCTTCTCCTCCCCCTGGTGCTCCCCCGGTTCCCCCTCGTGCTTCCCCCGCTCCCCCTGGTACCCCCCCTCCCCCTTCCGCCCCCGCCCCCCTCGGTTTCCCCCTTGACGCAGCCACGGCTGCTACCGTGCAGCATGCAGCGATTACTGTAGCGGATCAGATCCCCAAAGATTCGATTCTGTGGGCGGCTGTGGCAGAGCAGAAGGTTGGGATTCTGGAGAGAGCACTAGAGGAGACAAAGGAGCGTGCTGTTGCCATGATGGATCGATTGAGATTGAATGCAGAGGCTAAGGTGAGTAAAAGTGGTGTCGGGTGGAAGGTGGATGGAAGTGACATGATATTGAAGGGGTGTTACTAAGGGGGGTGACAATAGAAGGTGCTACTGCTGATGCTCTCCTTTCTCCCTCGCTTGCTGAACATCTACTATCGTAGACACACTCCCCTCCTCTCACTTCCTCACTTTCCTCTCTAACCTCTCTCCCTCCTCACCAGCACAAGGCGATGGAGCGAGAGCTAGAGGAGGAGCGGAGCCAAGTGGGGGAACTGCAATCACTCTCCCCTTCCCCTCGCTTTCGATCCTCACCCTTCATTCCCGTTCCTTCCCTCTGTCCCTCCAACAGCACAAGGCAATGGAGCAAGAGTTGGGGAGGAGAGGAGGCGAGTGGAAGAGCTGCAGTCGCTCTCCGATCCCACATGCTCTCGCATCTCACTCCTCTCACTTCCTCACTTTCCTCTCTAACCTCTCTCCCTCCCCACCAGCACAAGGCAATGGAGAGAGAGCTGGAGGAGGAGAGGCGGCGAGTGGAGGAACTGCAGTCACTCTCCCCTTCCCCTCGCTTTCTAACCTCACCCCTCACTCCCGTTCCTTCCCTCTGTGTCACCACCACCAGCACAAGGCAATGGAGCAAGAGCTGGAGGAGGAGAGGAGGCGAGTGGAGGAGCTGCAGGGGCGGCTCAAAGCAGCGGAGGCCAGGCGGAATGGCAGCAGCAGGGGCATTGCTACCGTGCCTCCTCCTGTCCCTCCCTTTAATCCTCCCCATGCTGCTGCGACAGCAGCTGCAAATGCACCTGGCGGTGCTGCGCCTGCTGCTGCAGCAGCTTCTGCAGCAGCTCCTCCTGTAAGTCCGAGCCAGGCCCAGCTGCTGAAGGCCTTCCCTTCCTCGTCCAGCCTCAGTGGGGGCGATGCCACTGCTGCTGCTGGCGTTGGTGGTGGTGGTACAGGTGGTGGTACGGGTGCTACGGGTGCTGCTTCAGCTGCCAGTCTGGCGCTTCGTTTGCCTCCTGGCTACTCTCTCACTGCTTCTCGCTCCTTCACACACACCACTGCTGATGGAACCGCAGCAGCAGCAGTAGCAACACAGGGGACAGGGCATGAGCACCCTTCTAGTTCCCCAGGGGAGCAAACCCAGGCTGCAGTAGCAGCACTAGGAGCACCAGGAGCACCAGGAGCAGCAGCAGCAGCAGCAGCAGCAGCAGCAGCAGCAGCAGCAGCAGCAGCAGCAGCACCGTCTGGGGGTCTGTTGCACACGCCTCCTCTGCGCTCGCTAAGCTCTGGCCTCCTGGGAATCAGTCTAGGGCTCACTAGCCCTACTCTTGGTGCCAGGGGAAGGGGGGTGGCAGGCGAGGGGTTGAGAGGACAAGGAGCAGGAGTAGCAGGAGGGGCAGGAGGGGTGGCAGGAACAGGAGGAGGGGGTGCTGCTGCTGCTGCTGCTGCTGCTGCTGGTGAAACGCCCCCTGTTACCCCCCTACTGGGTCCGTCGGGTGGGAGGGACGGGATGGGAGGTTCAGGCTTGGGAGGAGGGCTAGGTTTGGGAGCGGCAGGGCTGGGAAGTGGGTTAGGTTTGGGCACAGCAGGGTTGGGAGGAGGAGGCGGGGGAGGAGGAGTGAGGGCAATCTCACTTTCCCCTGCTGTGGGATTCGGCCTCCACCACCTCTTGTCTCCCCGTCGAGCACCTGATTCTCCTGCCGGTGCTGCCGGTGCTGCCGGTGGTGCTGCCGGTGGTGCTGCCGGTGCGGCCGGTGCTGCTGGTGCTGCCAGTGGTGCTGCCGGTGGTCCGGGAGCAGGAGGAGGAAGGTTCCAGGCAGCAGGAGAGGAAGGGGGGGTGGTGGAGGTAGCAGTAGGGACGCTAGACCCGTCTCTGCTCGGTCCTTGGGCTTTAAGCTGGTTTTTCACTAACAATCAGAGTGTTCCTCTGCCCAGTGTGACTATACCCGCACCGAGCTTTCCTGTACCAAGTGTGCCTGTACCGAGTGTGACTGTACCGGGTGCCACTGCTGCTGCTGCTGCCCCTGCTCTTCCCTCTGCCCCTGCTCCTTCTGTTGCTTCTGCTGCTGCCCCCACACCAGCAGCAGTGAACGCTACAGTTGCAGCTCCACATGCCACTCCGCTTCTCTCCTTCCCTCTCACGCACACCCCCGCTTCCCCTGCTGCTCCGCTTGCTCCTCCCGCTGCTCCTCTCTCTGCTGCGCCCCCTGCTGCTGCTCCTGCTCCTCCTCCTCCTGCCGAGGCCACGCCGGCCCTTCCCGTTCCCTCGCAAGAGATGCTCTTTGGTCGTCCCCTGCTAGTAGCACCACCAGCACCAGCACCAGTACCAGCACCAGTACCAGCACCACCACCAGCACCAGCGACAGCACCAGCGCTAGCGTCCCCTGAGGCGTTTCACAAGGGGCCTGGGGGACCAATGCAGGCAGAGGCAGCGCTTTCAGGGGCGAGGGAAAGCCGGGCAGACAATTGGCAGGCTGGTGGTGATGGCAGTCCTCACCTGCAGACGCAGCAACTGCTTGGGATTCACAATTTCCCGGTGGTGCAGGGGCAGCAGCAGCTGAGTAGCAGCAGCTTTCGGGTTCCGGGCCAGCAGGTCGCAAGGATTTTCTTGGAAGGTTCTCAGGCGGATCAGTTGGCGGCCCCGGTTTCAGCAAGGGACGCTGGTGGGAGCGAGCGAGAGTGGCTGCAAGAAGGGGAGGAGCGGGTGGAGGAGGGTGGGAAGGAGGGGGCTGGTGCGTTGAGAAGGGATGGGGCATCAAAGCAGGCTGGATTTGGTGCTTTTGCTGCTGCTGCTGGTGCTCCTGGTGCTGCTGGCAGTGCTGCTGCTGCTGGTGCATCTGCTGGTGGTGGGGGGATTGGGGGTGGCGGGTTTGGTGCTGCTCTTTCCCTAGGCCTAGGGCCACCAGAGGTTAGGAGACCAGGAGAGACAGCTGATGACCCTAGACCAGCTGACTCTGCTACACCAGCCTCAGTTGAGCCTTCGGCTGTAGCAGCACCAGCTGTAGCAGGAGCAGGTGGGTCTGAGATTGCAGGCTTGTCGGCTGTAGCAGCTCCAGCAGGATCTGATTCTGGTGCGCCTGTGCCTGCTGCTATCGCTGCTGCTGCTGCTGACGCTTCCCATGCTGCTGTTGCACCTGCTGCAGGAACGGCAGCAGCAGCAGCAGGAACGGCAGGGGCAGCAGCAGCAGCAGGATTGGCAGCTGCAGCAGCAGGGACAGCAGCAGGGGCAGCAGCAACTGCAGCAGCACCAGCAGGGGCAGCGGGAAAGAAACTTGCAAAGAAGGGACCTGTGAAGGAGAAAGGGAGCGAAGGGAAGTCTAAGGGAAAGAGTCTGCCAGGCTTGGGGAGGACAAGCATAGGAGCAGGCACACCTGGGAAGGTGAAGCCCGGAGGAGGTGTATCTGCGAAGGTGAAGGTAGGTAAGGCTGGGGGGGAAGGGAGGGAGGGAAAGGAGGGAGAGGAGCAAGAGGCAGCTTCCAAGAAAGTGGTGAAAACGGTTAAGGGAGAAAAGAAGGGAAAGGGAGAGAAGGGGAAGGGAGAGGCGGGTCTGAAGGGAGGGAAGAAGGGGGTTGGGGCGGAGGAGGCTAGGGGCAAGGGTAATGCTTCTGGTGCCGGTACTGGCGCTGCTCCTGCAGAAGCAGCAGGAGGAGGAGGAGCAGGAGTAGCAGCAGCAGCAGCAGCAGGAGGAAGAGGAGGAGGAGGAGGAGGAGGAGGAGGAGGAGGAGGAGGAGGAGGAGGAGGAGGAGGAGGAGGAGGAGGAGGAGGAGGAGGAGGAGGAGGAGGAGGAGGAGGAGGGATAGCAGCAGAAGAAGCAGCAGCAGCAGGAGCAGCAGTAGGAAGAGGAGCAGTACGAGCAGCAGCAGGTGATGTGGCAGGCAGTGCAGAGGATTCAGAGCATACAGAGACAGCAAACGAAGGGGGTGAGGGCGAGAAGGAGGAGCAAGGGGAGGAGGCGGTTAGTGGGTGGGTTGCAGGCGCTGACATGGGTACTGTTGAGGTAGCACCTGTTGAAACGGGGGTAGAAAGCGAAAAAGCCCAAGGAGGCGAGGGCAGAGTGAAGAAACCTAAGCAGAAAGTGAAGAAGCCTGAGAAGGGGCAGGTAGGGCAAATGGGGAAAGCAGGATTGGGTCCTGGTGCAGGTGCTGCTGGTGCTGCTGCTGCTGATAGTGCTGCTGGTACTGCTGGTGCTGCTGGTGTTGCTGGTGTTGCTGGTGTTGCTGGTGTTGCTGGTGTTGCTAGTGCCAAGGCGGTTGCCAAACGGGTGAAAATGGTGGGGAAGGATAGGGCGAGAGGAGCAGGAGAAGGGGGAGAGGGCGGACTTAAGGCAGCGAATGAGGGGGTACAAGGCAAGGAGGCGACCAAGAGAAAGGCAGCAGGGACGGATGATGTAGGAGTTAAGAGGAAAAAGGCAAAGGTTGCAGCAGATGCTGTGGGGTTGGAGGTGGTTGGAGGTGGGGAGGGTTTGGAGGGGGTAGAGTGGGCAGAAGGGGGAGTTGGGAGTGGAAGAGAGGGGGGTGAGTTGGGCAAGCAGGAGGAAGAGAAAAGAAGGAAGCTGGGAAAAGAGAAGAGAGTGAAAACGACGGGTGTGAAACGAGGGAGTAAGAGAGTGCTTCCAGAATCGGAAGAGGCTTCGGGCAGACCGAAAAAGAAAGAGCCGAAGGCAAAAATGGCTGGAGGGGCAGGAAAAGGGGCAGAGGCTTCAGAAGCAGTGGAGGAGAATGGGGAAGGTTTTGCTGCTGGTACTGAAGCAGCAAATAAAGAGGATGAGAATGTTACCACCCCAGTTGCTGATTTGAGCGGCCCTGCAGGAGGGGCGTCGAGTCTGGACCTGCTTATAATGGGTGTGGACGCAGTAAGTCGACTGGAAATGGCGGAAAAGGAGGAGAAGAAACGATTAGAGTCTGCTAATGAAGAAGCAGGATCCGCCAATGAGACGGCTGTGCTTACTGGTGGCCGGGAAGGGCATGCTGGGCGGGAGGAAGGTGTGGAGACAGAGGCAGAGGAGGGAGAGAAGGAGGTGGAAGAGGGGGGTCGGGAGTCGAGTGGATTGTTGCGGGTGGTGAAGAGAGCAGATAAGGTGAAGAGGAAGAGGGTTGATTCGGTAGAGAGGGTGATGGAGCGGGCCTCAGCTAGTGATGAGGCAGCAGGGGCAGGGGCAGCGGCAGGGGCAGGGACTGTGGTGTCTCCTAGTGGAAGGGGCCGGGGCGGGAAGGAAGGGAAGGGAGGGAAGGAAAGGACGGGAGAGAAGGAAGGGAAGGGAGAGAAGCGAGAGAAAGGACAGAAGGGAGAGAAGAGGGAGAAGGGAGAGAAGGGAGAGAAGGGAGAGATGGGAGAGAAAGGAGAGAAGAAAAACGGAGGAGCTCTAGCCAGGGGTAAAGGGACCAAGGGAGCGGAGGGTGCTGTCAGGGCAGATACGGAAGTGACCCCTTCTGAGGTGCGGCCAAGTAAGGTGTTAAAACGGGCGGGTGTGAATCAAGGAGAGCCTTCAAACGAACCTGAGGCTCGAAAGCAGCACATGAGAGTGCTTCTTGGCAGAGTGGGGGCGAAAGGGGACCAGAAGAAGCAGGTAAAGCAGCCAGTAAAGAAGGGAGTAAAGGAGGAAGGTGTGTTTGGGGCAATGCGAAAGTCCTCTAGTAGCCCCGAGATTGACTCTGCGGTCAATCGTGCTTTTAAGAAAACAGCTGCGGCTCCTGCTGCTGCTGAAAGAGGGTCTGGCAGAGCCGATGGGGGCAATTTTGGTAAAGGAGGGGGGACTGCAGGTGGGGTGCTGAAACGAGCTCTGGCTTTGGTGCGAGAACGGGATGGGGTAGAAGAGGAGATCAGTGGGAAACAGGTACGGAAGCAGCAGCAGGAGGAGGAGGGGGCAGAGGAGGAAGAGGAGGATGAGGAGGAGGAGCAGGAACAGCTGCGGCAGCAGCAGAAGCAGCAAGGGGAGAGTGAGGAAGAAGAGGAGCAAGAGGAGGAGCAAGAGGAGGAGCACTCAGGAATCAAGGGAAGTGGGGAGGAGAGAGGTACAGATAGGGTCAAGGGCAAATCGGGCAATTCTGCTTCTGCTTCTGCTGCTGCTGCTGCAGCAGCATTGGGCCGTCCGCGTGGTAGCACTGGTGGGCGTGGGCTAGCGGCAAAGTCACCAAGAAAGGTTATCAAAGAACCAGGGCTTACGATTCGAAGGCCTGGGATCCCACTGAGAGGGTCGGGAGTTACAGTGAGAGGGATGGGGCTTCGTGGCAGGTGGTCAGGGCGATGGAATGCACGTGCTATCATAGCAGGACGGGCTGGGGCTGGGATGAGGTATGGGGATAGGGAGGAGGAGGTTGAAAGGGGTAGGGAGGAGGAGGAGGGAGAAGGGAGTAGGGAGGATGAAGGGGATAGGGAGGAGGGGGGCGGGGATAAGGAGGAGGGAGAAGGGGGGAGCGAGGAGGAGGTGGAAGGGAGGGAGGAGGGGGATGGGGAAAGAGAGGGGGAGGAGGAGGAAGAAGAGGCAGTGGTGTTGCTTGATGAAGGGGAAGAGGAGGAGGAGGAGGAAGAGGAGAGTGAGAGGGATGATGATGGAAGGGTGGAGAAGAGAAAGAGCGTGCGAGGTGGGGCGGTGTTGGGAAGAGGAAGAGGGGCAGAGGGAGCTAAGATTAGGAGAGTGGGGGGGCGTGCGGGCGGGAAGCGAGGAGGTGGGAAGGTTGAGCGGGAGGCAAAGAGGCGAAGGATGGAAGAGGAGGAAGGGGAAGAGGATGAGGAGGATGGTGTTAAGGAAAGGAGAAAGGGAGGTGGGAAGAAGCAGGAGAGGAAGTCGGGGAAAGCGAGGAAGGAGAAAAAGCAGCGAGTTACTGGCAAAGCAGTTGAAAGGAGGGACAGCAGCGTGAGACAGAGGCAGGAGGAGGCAGCAGCAGCAGCAGCCACAGCTGCAGCAGCAGAAGAAGAAGCAGCAACAGCATCTGAAGAGGAAGCTTCTATTGAAGCAGCGCCCGCTGTTCCCATCACATCATCTAACGCTGTTTCAGCAGACGCTGATGATGATGATGATTTAGAGCTGAGGGAGCTGGGCAGAGGGGCCGTGGGGGTGGGGCCGGGGGAAGGGGGGGTAAGTATACCCTGGGAGGGGCTTTCCTCGTGGGGTGATAGGGGGAGGCAGTGGAGTGGCGAGGTAGTGGACAGAGCATCTGGGGGGGCTGCTGCTGCTGGTGCTGCTAGTGGTGGTGCAAGTGGTGGTGCTAGTGGTGGTGTCAGTGTTGGTGGTGGGGGGATGGTTGCAGCGAGAGGAGCAGGACGAAGGAAGTCCAAACCAAGTTCATCAAATACTGCAACTGCTGCTGCCGGTGGTGGTGCTGCTGGTGCTGCTGGTGCTGGTGGTGCTGGTGGTGGGAAGGAGGGAGCTCAAGAGGCGACAAGGCCCACTCGGCACAGCAAGAGACTGGGAGTTCGACAGGTATGTGTGAGAGGGTGAGAGGCTGTGTGGGTGAGGGAGGCACTTGGATATACATTTGAGGCGTCTCAGAAGTTTAGGGACGTTTTGAAGCAAGAGAGGGGCGATTGTCAGGTATGCGTGAGTGAGTGAGAGAGGCCCTGGTATGCACTTGTAGCTTGTGAATGAGAAAGGCTCTGGCATGCACTTGTATCCTGTATGTGCCGCCACATGTCATGTGAATGGGTACGTGTGTGGGAGAGATGGTCGTGGTACTTGAACTGCTTGAACCATGTCGGCACATGGCATGTCGACAGGGATATGTGTGTGTGAGTGAGTGCTGCTCTTGTACCTTGTTTGTACCGTGATGGCACATGTCATCTTGACTGGTGCCTTGCTTTTCTGTGTCATGATGTGTGTGTCTCCCGTGACTGCTACCTTTATCTGTATTTGTTCCTGTGCTGCATTCTCACCTGTACCGTATGTCTCCAGCTGTTTTTTTTCTAATGTGGGTGTGTGTGCTTTAACCCTCCCCTTGCTCTCGTTTTTTTGCCTGGCCAGTCAATTGGAAAGCGATGGTACGACGATTAGCATAGTCATCGGTGCTTAGGATAACAAATGAAGCCCTTAACATAGTAATCCCTTGTCATAGCAACTTGTTTTGTATTCTGATTGCCTGAATTCATGGGTTGCAAAGTTGCTAATTAATCATCTAAAAAAATGCAAACCTGTTTGAATAAAAGTCAACAAAATGAATATGCAGTTCAGTTGTGGGGATGCCAGAGGAGGCCATGTTCCAAAATTTAATCATGCAAGCTGTTGACTACACCAATAAGATCAGCATTATTTTATATTGCTTACCACGCACGATACCCAGGGCTGATTTTATCAGGGTAATTACCCTGATTTCAGGGTGATTTCAGGCTTCTCACCTTGTGATCCCTGTGAAATCAGGTTTTTCACATTTTGGTCCCTGATCCATTCAGAGTATTGATTTAGCGGAGCCTGAAATTCTCAATACATTCTCAGTGTAGTGTTTTCATGGACCCTGTCAATACAGAGTACGCGACCTGTGGACCCTGAAAGTGATGTTATCTGAACGAAGCTTCGTAGAAGCTTCGTTCCGATACCCCCCCATGTGGGTAATTATGATTTCGCACCTAACCATGTGGGGGCTTCGTTTCACGCGCACTAGTGACAAGAACCGACACAGAACACAACTGTCCTTTGTACAGCATCGATGTACAGCACAGCTGTCAATTTTGACAGCGCACCTAGAAGCATCATATATACTGCCATGCGCACCGCGCAAATCACAATACGTGTCCCTCATTGGAGGGAGACACTTAGTGGCTGTCGTCGCTGGCAGTGAAGCCGTCGTTCAATGTATTCGGCCTGCATGAAAGGCCGAATACAATGACGGCTCGTTGTTTCGACCACCGCGCCATCAATTTCGTGGCGACGCGGTGGATTCTTGCTGACCCCACCTTCTCCCTCCATCTCTTGCTTCCCCCCTCCCACAGCCAGGGTCTTGTTGGTGCTGCTGTTATGTTCCCTTTTTTCAATTCATTTCTCCGTTTCTCTCTCTCCCCATCTCTAGCTTCTCCCCGCCATGGAAGGCCAGCAGGCTGACGAGGACACGCCTCAGGCTGGCTCAGATGAGCCACCGTTACCGCCGAAAGCCACGGAGCCACGCTCGGGGATTGATTTTCTTAGAGGTTCCGCTGCTCCAGTAACACCGGATCCACCTAGGTCTACCGTAGATGATTCTGCAGTTAAAGACACGCCCACGGCCACACCTGAAGAGTCTCCCCGGGAGGCCGCCTTCACTATACCCCCCGGCTGTTGCTTCTTGCAGCAAAGATCCCCAACCGACCGCGCCAAGTCCCACACCAAGCACCGTTGGTGTGTCCGTTGGTCCTCCGTCGGCTACCTCCACACCGAAGAGAGCGCGTTCAGGGAAGTGGGCGCATCATACCCTGCTCGTCGGAGGCCGCCGACTTTCTGCTTCGAACACTCCGGCTGATCCACCACCTGCTGCATCTGCACCGCCAGAGGAAGATGTGTTCCCGATCCGCGCGGACACCGGCTCGCCCGCCCTCACCAAGGCGCAGCTGCGAGAGCAGATGTTCCTGGAGGCCAGCATCATGTACGATACGAGGTGGTCGGGACAGTTCTCCTGGCTTGTGTTGGGAAAAACCAAGGATGGGTTTCCCTATGTGAAGTGCAGTGTCTGCATGGCCTACGGGAAGGAGAACACGAGGTACGCGAGGCAGGGTGATGACGGAGGCCGTGACATGCAGACGCAGGCGTTTCGCGTACACGAGCACACGGACGCGCACAAAGCGGCTGTTGACCGGCAGCTGAAGATTGCGAGAGGCATCCGCGAGGGGCAGCAAGTGATTTCGAACTTCATCAACTCGGACGTCGAGGGCAGGCGCGCCGTCCGACTGTTGCGGTCGGTTGTGTTTCTGTGCAAGTGCGACGCGCCGATAAGCATGTACCCTAGGCTGATGCGGCATCTCGCGGAGCAGGACACGCCCGACATCCCGAGACAGTCTTACGGTGTTTATCTCACACGGTAGGACATTTTAGTTACAATCTTGCTGTATAGAATTCGTGGTAATGAAATATTTTCCCCCATAAAGACTAACTGAAAGACCTACATCTCTGCGCAGGTACGGCTTCCAGCAGATGGTTCACTGCCTCAGTACGTACTTGACGAATGCGCAGATGGACCACATCAACTCCTCACCGTTCCTGGGCCTGCAATGCGACGAGAGCACTGACCGAACGCGTGGTAAACACATGATTGTTTACCTGACCTTCATCAAGGACCGCCGAGTCGTCACCGAGTTCTTCACCCTCCTGACTGTGGAGAAGTGTGATGCTGCGTCCCTGTTCGAGGTGCTCATGAATCATCTGCGCTCCACAGCCGTCGACGTGTCGAAGCTTGTCGGAATCAGTACGGACGGGGCTTCGGTCATGACGGGGAAGGACAACGGATTGGTGGCGCGGATCAGGGAGCACGCCCCGCATCTCTTTTCCTGTCACTGCATCGCGCACCGGTAAGATTTAGTGCCAGTTTTTGATCCAGTTCATGTTGCTTGCCTGATTTCTACTCTAACAATTATTAACGTTGTCTATTGCAGGGAGGCGCTGGCTGTTAAGGACGCGGCGACGTCCAACCCCGACCTCCGCATGGTGGACAAGGTGGTGCGCACCGTGGCGGAAAAACTAAGAGATTCTTCAGTCTGGAGCCAACGGTTCAAGTACCTGCAGCGTGTGATCTACAACACTAACCTCGAAGTCCAGGGGATCCACACGGTTCGCTGGCTCTCACGTGGAGATGCGGTGCGACGGCTGTGCAAGGTGCTCGGTGCGTGTATCGTTCTTCTGTGGGAGCGGAGTCACAAGGTGTACGAGATCGTCACGTGCTACAAGTTCCAGTTTTGCCTGTTCTTCCTCGCCGACATGAACGACCTCAACCGCTGTTTCCAGAAGCGAGATGTGAGTTTGTTTAATCTTCCACGAACACGCCTCTGCTAGTGTCTCCAATTTCTCGAGTGTTGGATGTAAAATGACATGTCCTGTATGACTGTGCCCTTACAGATTGATGTGACGGAGATTGCGAAGACCATCGAGGCCACCACGGCGGATCTGACTGAGCGGTATTTGGATACCGACAAGCAGTTCGGTGGCGAGGGCAAGTGCTGGCTGGTCGGCTTTCTGAAGCTGCACGGGCATGGTGGAGGCAAGAAGGTCCGTGTGAGAGGCGTGGACGGGGAGGGACGCCCAGTGAACCATCTGTACACCATGCACGAGCGGAAGCTCCCGGGGCACAAGGTGGGGAGCGGATACGAGGAGTGCGTGAAGTTGTGCCGCAGTTTCGCCCGCGATTGCGTGGACAATCTCAACGAGCGGCTTGATGACCTGGGGAAGCTGGGGCTGACGAAGCTGTTTCGGGCCGAAAAGTGGCCGAAGATCAAGGCACAACGGGAGAAGAAGTGCCGTGAGTGGCTTCTGGGATGCAGCAAACTCTTCCGCCACAAGCTGCCGGGATTCGACCTCAAGGCCGCAGAGAGGGAGCTTCCCACATTCTGTGCGATCATGGAGGCGCATCACGAGCTGGAAAGCTTCACGTAGGGACTGACCAACATTCTCGGGAGCGCGGACTCGAAGAGGTATGTCCCCGTAGTGTGACAGCATGGTATGCCATGCGGGAGTCTAATGTATTTTGTGCATGTGGTCACTCTGTTTCCCACCCATCTCCGACAATGTGCCTGGCAGGAGGTGGCCCAACCTTGTCCTCCTGTGGCAGGCGATCGCGGTGCTCCCCCTGTCAACTGTGGAGTGCGAGAGAGGATTCTCGAGGCAAAATGTGATCAAGTCTTGGGTGCGCGGCGCTCTCTGCAACGCGCGGCTGGGGGAGCTGATGCAGATTTCGCTCCTGAATTACGACATCGAGTGGTCGGACGCCCTGGAGGTGTGGAGGTCTATGAGGAGGAGGCGCCCCGCAAAGAGCGTGAAACTTGCTGTTGCTGATCGCGAAAGGAGGGGGAAAGCAAAGGAGGGTGAAGTCGAAGCAGGAGCTGCCCACCAGAACGATGGGGAGGAGGACGACGAGGAGGAGGAGGAGGATGTGGAACAGGCCCTGGGCGACGATCAGGAGCTTGTGGGGGATGAGGAGGAGGACAATCCCTTCCTTTCGAACGATGAGGATGTGGAGGAAGTGTTCCACATCGATAGGCCTGTGCACTAGAATAGAGTAGATGTAGGAGGAAATTTGTTACAGGCTGTACATTGCAGTAATCACCCTAGTAAAATTTGAAATACAACCCTGAATTCAGGCTGTCGACCCTGACTCATCAGAGTGACTAGTTGTTGAACCCTGAGCCATCAGGGTGACAATCTTCTGAACAATGTGCACTCATAATCGAGGGAAAAAAATTTTAGCGGCATCAGGGAGCCCTAAAGTGAAACGTCAGCCCTGACGATACCCATACCAAACATTTTGTGATTTTATATGAGGCAGGTTTGATTGTATCCCTAGTCCGGGCCTATGCTCCAGCTTTCTGGCACCTGCATTTTTGTGTGCCTTTGTTATTGCATTTTGCTTATTAATGGCTTCTCGTGCAATCCTTTTCACATAAAAAAATAGGAATCATGAATTGGGATGGATACACTGCGTTGCCTAAGTCTTTGTTTTGTTTTTTTACATTTTATTATTATTGTGTACAGAATGTTAACCATGGAAACATTGAGCATAGCTACCTGTTACGGGTGCAATGAATCGAGGTAGCGAGGATTGCACTAGAGTGTTCAATGAGTACAAAATATGAGCGAATGCATGAGCGAATACTTACGCGAAAACGTGCAAACGGTAACGCGGTGCGTGCGAGCTAGCTAGTGCTACGCTGGCGCGAGGTTCGGGCTAGTCCCGAAGCGTAGGCCGACTCGGCTGCTCCAGCAGTGCGAGGTTTGGTGAAACAGTGCGCGCGAAGTTGGCGAAGCCCCGTTAGCAGTAACGGGCGAACAACGGCTGCTGCTGTACGCGATGTGGACGGTCGCGGTAAGGACCCCCCCCCCCCCCCCCCCTCAAGAAATCCCCTCCGCTACGCGAGTGCGTGTATATTGCGGAAACCTCGGCTCCTCAGGTACACTTGCAGGGCATGGTGGTTTTCGATGTTGGCCAGGGGCACCCAGCTATCCTCGGTTGGCATGCGGTCCTTCCAGCGAACGAGGAACTCGATGCTCTTGATGCCTGTGGGGTGGCGAATCCGATGGCTCATATTTTTTTCGGGCTCGATGATCGGCTTCGATGCAAGGCGCGTCATGGATGGCGGGTGGTGACGAGGCAGTTGGCTCGTGCATGAGATGTAAGGGCGAAGCAGGCTGACGTGGAATGATAGGCTGATGTACCAGTCTGTCGGCAATAGTAAACGGGCAGTAACTGGGGTGATCATGTGGCTGATTTGAAATGGTCCACAGTAGCGCGGTCATAATTTCGGTACGACGAGCAGTCTTAAGTTCTGTGTGTTGAGCAGTACGTAATCCCCTAACTGGTACGTGTCTGGGCGGCGGTGGCGGTCAGCGTTGCGTTTAGCGATGACGTTGGATTTGTTAATTGCTTCTGCGGCTCTGGTGCGGGCAGCTTGCAGAATCTCAGCGAATTGCTGTGCTCGTGGCGTTGGTTGTCCGGACTCGGCGTCATGGGCACTGTTGGGTTTTGCCCGTAGTTCAGGTAAAACGGGGACTGCTGCGTCGTCGCTGACGTGGCGTTGTTGTAGGCAAACTCGATCGGCAGCAGCTGCTGCTCCCAAGTTGTCGGGTCGTCGCACGTGGCCTGAATCAACTGCTCCATCGTCTAATTGGTCTGCTCCGTTTGATCATCGGTCTCGGGGTGGTACGATGAACTAAACTGTAGCCTGGTCCCGAACTGCTCCCAGAGGTTCTTCCAGAAGTTGCTGGTAAACTTCGTGTCGCGGGCGCTGATTATTGCGGCTGGTATCCCGTGCAGTCGAACGACGGCTGCGATGAACAGGCGAGCGGTTTCTTCGGCTGAGATCGATTTCTTGCACGTAGCGAAGTGAGCCATTTTTGTCAGTCTGTCAACGACGACCATAACCGCGTCGTTACCCCCAGGGTTCGAAAGTAACCCCGTGACGAAATCCATGGTAACTTGCTGCCAGGCGCTCTCGGGCGGTGGAATTGACTGCAATTGACCCGCCTTTCTCTTTCGCGAGCTCTTCATCACCTGACACGTAGGACACGAGCCCACGTGGTGCTGTACGTCCGTCAACAGCTCCGGCCAGTAGTAATACCGCTGCAATTGTTGTCGCGTTTTTTCTACCCCGAAGTGGCCCGAGGTAATCTCGTCGTGTGCCTCCTGCAGTAACAGTTCCCTCGTTAGTGAGTACGCGGGTACCCAAATGCGGTTGGTGCCTGTTTTTACGTAATAGACTCCCTTAGCTTCTGCCAGATGCTGTGAATTTCTGGTCGTGAAAAATGGGTCGGTACTGTATCCGTGTGTGAATAGGCGTGTTAACAGTGGGTTGGTTTGGGTGAGTAGGATGACGTGGAGTTGGGCGGTAGGACGTGTGAGTGCGTCGGCGATGTTTGATGCGCCTTTTTTGTACGTGAATGTGTAGTGGAAGTTGGACTCCAGATAGTCCAACCAGCGGATCTGTCGCGGGTTGAGATTCGGTTGGGCGCGGAGGCACTGTAATGATCGGTGATCTGTCCGTCTGTCATGTCGGCACCTGTCAGGTAGCATCGCCACACTTTGAACGCGTGCACGATCGCCAGCATTTCGCGGTCGTGTATCGGGTAGTTGCGTTCGGGCGGGTGCAGCTTGCGGGACTCGTACGCGATTGGCTGGAGGCCGTTCCCGGATTCCTGCAAAAGTATAGCTCCCACGGCGATGTCACTTGCGTTGGTGACGAGCTTGAACGGACGGTGCGGATCTGCGATGTGAAGCACGGGCGGCGAGCACAAAATTTGTTTGAGGGCCGAGAAGGCAGCTTGCTCTTTCTCCCCCCACATGTACTCAACCCCCTTCCTCAATAGGTCGGACAACGGAGCAGTCAACTTCGCCATGTCGGGGACAAACCGGCGCACGTAGTTGACGAACCCCAAAAAGCTCTGCAACTCGGTCAAGTTTGTCAGCGCATGCCACGCTTGAATCGTCGTGATCTTCTTTGGGCCTATTTCTGTTAGAATCTTAGGTGAGAATGATTGACTAGGAAGCAAGGACGGGTACAAGTAGAATGTCGAGAGAATTCTGTACCCCCTAAGGCTAAACCCACTATAGCCTAGACAAATGTAAACACATGAACTAAGCCTAGATATAACTAAGCATATATGTTTGACACACCCCCATAGGCGAAGTGGGGGATAGCCAGAACGAGTATTGGTCACAAGACCAGTCAAGAAAGGCAAAGCAAGCTCAGGGTGGATCACAAAGTCACCACACAGTCCGAGCACAAGCAAAGGGCCACAAGGCCAGTTCACATGCAGAATTATATACAGAGAACAAACAATACAGTGATCATACCCTAACAAGTGCAAGCATGCAGGTATATAGATAGATCACAGTACAGGCAGAGTCAGGCAGTAAGTAAGTGAGGCAAAGTAGGCACAAGGCCTAACACAGTAACAAAGCGCTGATGGTCACCAGGCGGAAGTGCCTTGTGAAGACATCAGCAGTGTTGGCCCGAGTGGCCACGTACGCTAGATGAAGCTGACCACGCTGCTGCAACTCTCGAGCAAGGAAGTATCGCAGAGTGATGTGCTTCGTTCTGTGCTCCAGTCTGTGCTCCTGACACAAGGCTATCATGGCCTTGTTGTCTACGTACAGGACTGGAGGCGAACGAGGCTGCTCTCCCAAGTCGGTCAGCAAGTAGGTGAGCCAGCGTAGCTCCTGAGCAGCCATGGCTCCGGCGTAGATCTCAGCCTCACAGCTGGAGCTGAGAACTGAAGACGAGTGGGTAGACCGCCAAGAAACCGAGCCGGACCCAAGGCTGAAGGTGTAACCCTGCGACGACCGCTGCTTAGCTGAGTCGTCAACCCAGGAGGCGTCTGCGTGACCAGTGAGGACAACAGGACCCCGTCCTCCAAGCACAAGCCCCATGCCCGACGTACTGCACAGGTAACGCAGTACCCTCTTCGCAGCATCCCAGTGCACCTTTCGGTGCCTACCGGGAGCCACGTAGTGAGCCAGAAGGCTGAGAGGGTACGCGAGGTCAGGTCATGTGCAAGTCATCAGGTACATGAGGCAACCCACAAGCTCTGGGTACGGACCACTCGGCTCTACGGACTCGTCCGAAGGTGGAGCTGAGAGCGAGTGGCTGGTAGACAGAGGAGTGAGCTGTGGCGGGGAGTACTGGAAGCCGAAGCGTTGAAGGACCTGGTGCACCATGTGTGACTGAGTCAGTGTGATGGTGCGCCGTGCTCTGTCCCGGGTGATCTGCAGGCCAAGGTAGCTGCGCAGTTCACCCAGGTCAGTGCAGGTATGTCTCTTCTACAGCTCGGACTTCACTAGGGTCAGTGCCTCAGTGTCAGCCGTGGCAAAGACGAGGTCGTCGACGTACACTAGGACGTAGAAGGGCGGCAGCGAGGTGTCGGTGCGTAGAAACAGCGACGGG